AGCGACTCAGTTTCGGAAGGCTCGATTAGTTCGAAGACAACATATTTTGTACCACAAAGGAGACCATCCGGAGCATAATACATCAAGTAGGGTGCAGTACAGGTAATTGCTAAGCTGAGCAGGGGTCTGACGGCTGTTAGGCAGTTGTTCGGGGTGTTTCGCAATTCATAGGCTCGATGCAAACGATTCTTTTCATGCGCTTACAACTGCAGCAGCTGAGTTACCTTGATATACAGCGGCAAAGATCAGTATGCGTCATCAGCAGTTTAGCAGAGCGGCTGGCTTACTTGAGGTATTGACCGTTAAAAAGAGGACTTAAAGGAATGTTTATGGCGGTAGTGCACATTGGCCCCGTGCATTAGCTAAGCACGTGGTCTGACAAGACCTAACGCTACCTAAGGAAGGACAGCGGCGCAGAGCTCATTGCAGCCATGTGGAGGATCCTACCGGGGCATCGTGTGTAAATGTGTGATGTTCGCAAGTCACACAAACAATTACAGGGTGCTGTCCAGTAATCCACACCAACGGCCTAGGCGCACCATAAGCTGGTGATCGCAATTTAGCATTTACATGATAGTTTACTCAAGTAAGCCTGGGAAATCTCTAGGTTGCTACAGCACCGTTAACATAGTTGTCCCGCCATGGGGAATACGCTTACATCACTTCGTTACTTGGAAATGTTTAGTTAGAGCACATAGGCTGCGATAAAATCATTAGTCGTCCAGCATAACATGAATTTAAAAGCCAGCAAGTACCATCTTCAAATACCGTAACTGACAGCGTACCATGTAATTGTAGGCGCCGTTTGCACCCTGATGTTAGGCCGAAAGTCCTTAGGTAGCTGCTGATTTTCTCCAACAAGATCAATACTAACTTCGGAATGCTTACCGGACAACCACTTCGCACAGCTGGCTGCTAGTTCGGGATTATTCTGTTCTGACTAATGCTTCGGCAGCAGTGTTCCAAGACAAGGTGAGCCTTCCCTTCGCAAGTGATATACCCATATAAAGCCACATACATCTGTTTAACAACCCTGCAACGTGGCGGACGTGACTCACAGCCCCTCACTGCCCCTCACCTTACTCTTGTGTGGCGTTGTATTCCAGCAATCTGTCTGGCACGAATGGCATATGAACTAACTAATCGGTCACTGTCTGCCAATAGGCGCGACCACTTGAATCCAAGTCCGCTATGTTGCCAGTCTGCTATTCTGCCAAAGGCTCAGGGTGGTGTCCCCTGGGACAACGCCTTACATCGGCTTGGGCAACTGGGTAGCACCTCGCCCGCTGACAGAACCAGGGTTGTTGTAACTACCATTACATAGCTCTCTACTACTCCTGCCCTCTTCACTGAGTGCGCACTTCCATCACCAGTAAGCTTATTTTCGTCAATAATTTAACTTCCTTAGAACCTACTTCCGGTACACGCATTGTCGATGTCCGAAGAGGCAGACGAATGGCCCTCCTTCGATATCTATACAACTTTCGAACTCAGAGTCCCTCGTTATGGACGTTCATTACCCTTCTGAGTTTCGATTACCGGAATCTAACTCAGCTTTAGCTGACGTCCACTGTTGATCACAAACCCAAATATTTCGTGCATCTCTCAGGTGACACAGAAGCAGCTGCATCTGGCTTGGTTGGTGTAGGTAACGCATTGAGTGAAATTGCTGAAGTCACGCTTTTCTATTGGTTCTAGTATGAAAGCCGAATGTGCATGGCTCATGCAGGATCAACAGAAGTGATAGAGAGATAGGCAATTTAGTTGTGGTCTACAGATTGCGCTCCAACCGAGTGCAGTTGTGCATCGGTTAAAGACGACTTTTGACACGAACTCCACCAGCTTTCGAGTAAGGCAAAAAATGCCCATGTCATCATCCTTGAAATGGACTTCAATGCACAGATCGGCTCCTTGTTACCATGCGAACGTCAACTTGATGGCCGTTACGCTATTGCTGAGGGTTACTCTGAAAACAAAAATAGACTTTTCATCTTATCTGAAGATAACTGCCTCCTTTTCTTTAGAAGGAACTTCAGGCATTGGAGGAGAAGCACCGTCACCTGGCATTCTCCTTAGCCAACGCTAGTGTGGTCACGTATTGATCACACAGCAATCAGCCTTAGATTGATTATCAGTGTACGGGATTTCAGATCTATTTGATGTAACTACCTCGACTCCGATCACCCTCTGGTCTGTGCTGACATTTGCATGTGCTTGGGGTTTCTCGAAATAAAAGCACAATTCACTAGATATCAACAGGCTAGCTAAGCGTTTCATTCAACTGGCTTATTAGTCCTCTTTTTCAGCTGAGTTTGTAGGGCTCAACTTAAAAGCGTCTAAAAGCACTAGATTTTCCTGCAAAAGACTTTCTTTCCTGTGTTCGATCGTTCTGTAGAATCACTGGGCACTCTCTGAGAAGCTGGATCACTGCTCGCTGTTTACAATTGTCTGATCGTCGCCGACTTATCCCAGTTGATTTAAGCAGCGGTCAATACTGCCACAAACTCAGCCAACAGCTTAAGCAAAGCCAGCGTAAGTATCGCGAAACTTGAAGGTGGAAAGAGCAGCTCCCTATAGAAACTTTGAAAAGCTTTTCTAGATCATTCGGACTAATGGCCATAGAAGACCTGGCGTCACTGAGGCCATTTGCGAGGTTGGTGGATTGTCAATCACCAATTTGTTTAGCCGCATGAAAAGCTGGACTGAGCACATCCACTCTTAATTCATTTGGCCTCCGTCTCTCGGCTGTCTAACATATATGCTTTATTACGCGCCTTGGAACTTTTCACTGGACCCATCCCCCGAAGTGGAGGTCAGCCTTGAGCTTCGCCACTTGAAACCGTTCAAGAGTGCTGGCTCAGCTGGACTTCCTCTAGAGAGACACAAGCACGGTAGCGAGGCGACTGTCAACAAGGTAACTGCGCTGTTCCCCAAGATTTGTTGTGAAGAAAAAGCTCCAACCTCGGGATGGGTCGGCTACCGTACCCATCTTCAGAAAGTGCCTGTACCTCCTGCGCCAACCACAGAGAACTCAGCGTAACCTCCGCCGCCTCCGAATGAGCACCATAAATTCTACTCTGCAGGCTAATACTGATTCAAGAAGTACACTCCCCGGAAGAACAGATTAGTTTCCGCCCCGATTGAGGGTGTGTGGATCACACGTTTACGCTTCGCCAGCTCCTCAAGCAGCGTCACTTTTATCGCCAGCCTATCACTATCGTCTTTTGGACATCCGAGATGCGTTTGACTCCGCCAAGCGGTCTGCTTTATGGTGTGTTTGCAAAACATTGGGCACCAGATAAGTTTGCTGCCATCCTTTGAGCTTTATAGTACTATTTCGGGTAAAGTGATGGCTCACGGAAAGCTTACTTCACCTTTCACCATTACTAGCGGTGAATAACAGAGATGTTCCATGCCCAGTGATTCTTCCACTTTTTCATTGAGGATGACCTATTACGCTGTCTGGAAAGTCTCCATGGTTCTGGCGTAGAGCCACTTCCAAGAAACCATGAGATTTATTTTGACCATGCTGACCATATTGCCTTGTTTTGTGACGACGCACTTGGTAAGCAGACCAGTCTAAACCGCTTGACGAATGAAGCTACCAAGCAAAGGATAACCTTTGCCCCACTGAAATACAAGCTTCTACTTCAGGATTGGCCTCCACTTACCACAGTGCTGATACTTAAAGGCGTCTAGCTTAAGCAAGTGGAAAGTGAACAAACGGCTAGCTACATCGTTAGGACCTGAGATTCTGCTGATGGTATCATCAGAGGTAACATTGCTCTTCATAATGCCAAAGCGCCATCAGCTTTCGCTGAACTAAAACATCTGTGGCTTCGTCGTGCAGTTTCACGTTCCGTAAAGAGCAGGGTTCAAAATGCCTGTGTTCTCGCGGTATTGTTGTACAGGAGCGATTCCTGGAAGATCCGTGTAAATGACGCGCCGGATTTCGGCTTTCGACAATGAAAACACCGCGTTTGCAACGATCATATTAGAAGTGACGTCTTAGGTGAATCGGGTCTGCCTCTCGACTGGCCAGTACCGCCAGTACTGAGATGGCTGGGTCACGTCCTACGTGTGCCGTGTTATCGATTAGCATGGTGTGCTCTGTTCGTGAGCGTAGGGTGGCACAATGGTCAACTCATAAGATGGTAACAAAACGTCAAGAAACTGACTTCCAGTCTTGCTGTTGTTAGTTTCGTACGTTTTCGAGGCTGTGGTGCCAAAGATAAAGAACACACTGACCGGGAACCTTTGAGGACATGGCACGGAATCTATTTCAATGGAAAATATGTTTGAATCTATGCTTTGATTCCATTGACCAACACCATAATCGATCAATTGACAAAAATGACTAATCGGCTTGTGGAAGAAAAAGATTTTTGTCTGACTATCACTTTATGATTTTTGTGCTTATTAAACACATCCACCATGGTTTTCTATAGCTCCATAACCACGGTATTGGCAGTTAGTATATATGTATATATATATATATATATATATATATATATATATATAGCTAATTTCTGGGCTAACCTCTGTGCTACATTTTAAACTCATAAATAACTTGAAAACCATCTGTCCCTTGCCACATCAAATGATACAAAAGCTAAGGTAAGATAAAAATGAGGTCTTTCCAATCCACGGAATTGTGGCGCGACTAAGTGCATTGCCACATCAAGGTCTTAGATTTGGCCAGCCAAGTAACCGTTCCTGTACGGAATTTAGAATGCCTGTCTGGATGGTATATGGATCCCTTTTTTATCATGCCGCGCTTTCGAGCATTTCCAGCCCGCATCCTCGTATTGAACAAAATAATGACCTCAGTATTAGCTGCGGCGTGTAACAAGTTTGTGCCAATGGAAATTCTCCACATAGCAAACGCTTGCACCAAGCCTATGAGGCGGTAGGGAAAAGCGAAGTGGTCGAACGTGAGCCCGCATTCCAGGCACTCCATATAAGACTACCCGAAATGTTCAACCTTTCGTGCCTGCTCAAAAATGTTCGCGTGTCATTTATTTCCAACTGTCACCTTCATAGTCACTATTGTAACGGCTCAATACACACAAACTTTGCACGACTTCGAAAATTTTGGTTCGTTAATGGATGAGTCAGTAGCAGCCGGTGATCCGCAAATTCCTTTGGAGTCCCCACATTACGACACCTACGGTCAACACTTTTCCGAGTATGACCATGAGCTCGTAACAGGATCATCAGAGGAGGCCCGTTATTTCAAGCAGCTGGCGCCTGAAGAGGCAAAAGAACGTTTGGGTAGACTGTTTGACAAAATGGACAAGAATCAGGACGAAAAACTGGATAAAGAAGAACTTACTGACTGGATTGTGCGATCGTTCGAGTAAGCAACCTTATTGGTCGCTACCAGCATGGTATGTCAGAACAGCGGAACATGTTTCTAGATTCATAAACCTCAGACACGTAAATCCCTACGGTAGGGTATGGTGTGTTAGAAAATTTATTTCACCACTGGATGCTTACATGAAACAAGTTCACACGTGGCGCGCAGCCCACATTCGATAAAACAGTGATTTGGCAACGGTTTGTCACAGACCCCACATAATGTTCGAGGTGTAAGTTTTAAAAACAAAATATGCTTCATGTTTTGAGCTCCCAATGATCAACCCATACAGGTAATACGTACCCTAGAGTACCACGGTTTTGTGTACTCTGTCATCTAAAGATGAGCACAGATCACGTTGCAGAGCGTGTAGGGTTCTGTGTATCATCAAATTATGTTAGGACTTCGGGATGATGTAAAAATTTTATATCGGTACTTTCTCAACTAGGTGAGGCACGGCCCTACTAAGCTAGTCCGATCATAAGTTACAAAGGAAATGCGGAAAGATTTTACAACCTGTTGCACAGAAACACTTGTGGTGCCAAATCCCTTGTTTCTTGCGCCATTGATTTCCTTTCAAAATTAGTCGGAATCCATGACATTTGCCAAACTTTCAGATACCTTTAGGCGGATGGTTATGAGAAGAAAGTAAAATAACAACATTTTAGAAGGTGAGTTATATTATATACATGGAAAATATAAGTTAAAACCCATAACATTGGTTTTATAACAATAATTTATGAATAGTGAAGGTGTGTGTGTAGATAAGATATAACACTACAAATGGTTAAACTGAGAACTGCATCCGCCATAAAATATAAATCAATTAGTGTTAACGACGTACCTCACACAAGAGGTAAGATGTGATAACACAGGGCAGCTTGAATTGTGTAAATAAACTGGTGGGGTTAGTTGCAGACCATCAATAATTCACCCATCCCGTATGCCCATATATTGCACGCACACAGGCCTTTCACCTAGCTGTGTGAGGGAAAGAAAGCGTTATCTGTAGGCTAAAGCTTGCTTATTCACCCCACCAGTGTGAGCATGTTTTTCAAGTGCGGCGATTTTTAAATGTCGGAGTAGAATGTTTCCTGTGACGTAGAGATCTATGATAATTCAGCTTGGAGAAGTGGCTAAGTTACGTAGGGCTGCAGCGAAAATGAACGGGCACTTGATGATTCGATATGCTGCCATAAGTTTCCTAAGCTGACTTCGGTTTCTTCCTAACGTTTATGGTCTAAGTCAGCGCTTGATGGGAGATGAAACTTTTAACAATCGACGCAGCCTTCAATTTGAAGTGTCAGGTGCAACGACAATTTACTAGAAGTAGGGCTTCTGACTTCGGAAGTATAACACAAAGCTTGGGGATATTGGAGAAGATTAAGAAGAAGAAACTACAACAACGCCTACAGCACGCGGCGTATTTATTTTCGATTACTTGCATCTTCGCGCGTTGCTCCGAGCAACTGAAGTCATCCTGAAACACTATTCAATTTGGCGCTATCTGGGGACTCTATGTAGTTAGTGCGACTTGTCAATGATTTCTCTGGGCGTTAGTTTGTAAATGGTTCAATTTCTGCCGTTCGTTAGTCCATATAATTTATGGTTAACTATGATTTTCTTACATGTTATATGTTGATAAAAATCACAACAGTAGAGATACTCGACATGACACACGCATTTGACTTCTAAAGAATAAGAGGATCTTGGGCAGCCAAGATGATCATACCCATTCAACAGGTAAAGTCATCTGGGATCGAGTCCGACAAAAAGCTACAAAATCCAAACTGCAGAATTCCTCGAGGAAGTAGTACATCAATCCACACTAGAACAAAATCTCAGCTAAAAAGAAGACGTAAATTGCGGGATGACTTAGTCATTTTGCTTATGTCCAGCGTTCATGAACATGCAACTAACGATGAAGAGTGCGGAAAGAATGACAGGGAATATCACTTGGTGGCTTTCATGATGTAGTCGCATTTGAAGACAGTAAGTAAAATAGAATCAAGCTGTTGCAGTTTGCTTTTGCTTGTTTATGTTACTGAGGCGTTTGATGAATTGCTCGGTTGAGAGGCCGTTATGTTTTGGATTGCAAGGCCTGCAGTCCCCTGGACCAAAGTCCTGAGCTGAATATAGGACACTGAAACACTTAGATACTCTTATTCCACAAATACACCGTCTACCTAGAATGTATGTGACTAATTATCGAGTCACAGCCAAATAGATAATCTGCTTGCTCGATCCTGAAGTAAAGTCCACAGAAAAACATGCTTCGACAAACAAATACAAAATGCTCGCTTAGTTGGAATGAATAAATATAAACCAGAAGTGAATGGGTTCGCTTGATTTGCGGTATCTCTTCACGAACATCCCGTTGAAAGTGAGCATTTATTAGCTTCCACGAAAACGCTGAAACACGCTTCTTTTATGCATACAAAGGAACAAGCTTCACTTTCAGGGAATAGCACATCAGTAGTTAGGCAGTCTATGGGTTTGCCTCTAGGCTATTCGCTCGCCGACGTATTCATTGGCACTATATAAGAGAAGGTGGAGAACAGCACGAGGTCGACAATACTAGATCAGCTTCGTGTTGACGCGTCATTGATTTGGATGAGGTCATGGAGTATGTATCAAAAGCGCTCAACGAAATGCATCCAAACCTTGTAAAGTGTGACGTTGAACAGGAAAATAACCTCCCTTATCTGATCACATGTTGACCTGACGGTTCGCTAAGGAGGTTAGCCTATCGAAAGACAACCTGGACAATTCAGTATCGGTAATTTTAAAGCTCTACAACGCAGGATACTGTCCGGACAGCTTCTATCGAAAGCACACAGTTTATGTTCCAGACATGTTAGAAGTTCACAGAGATCCGACATTCAACTCAAATCAACGGCTTACCACTGCAATTCATAGAACGCCTTAGTTACATGACAGGTGAGGTAGAAAACCAGAAGTTGGTAGTATCCTAACTTTGTTGACCTGCCCTCCAAAGATGACTATATCATGAAGTTCACTGCGAAAAGGAGAAGCTTTTCAAGGAAATGGGTCTGCCACGAAGCAAGGTTACTGTTGCTCATCTCGACAAGATTTTTGCTTATGTGTTCGATTCAGACAATGATGAGAACGCGCTGCACGTTTTACCTGTACCCGTGGAGACAGCTAAGTTGGACGCACTAACCGAAGGTTAGGTATTAGAATAGATGGGCACATTTGCAAATGGTTACACTGCTAAACTGGTCTGTGACAACCGAACCGGGTGAACCGAGCAGCTGAGCTACTCAGCTATCACAAAGCATTTGTTGAGCACCAGCCACCAAGTTAACCCCGATAAGCCATCTACTGTCCTGATGCTCAAACAGAAGCCCCACATATTCAGACAGATGGAAGTCATCGCTGTTAGTCGAGAACGGCCGAAGAGGAGCAGCTTGGTGTAACTAAGCCTACCATGGTGGCGCCAAGTGCACTGATTATCCAATGCTTGGCCACCTGGTGATCCATCCTGTCATTCTTTCTGCACTCTTTATCGTTAGTTGCTAGGCACCGATTGATAGACATGTATGAACTAACCACGTCATCTCACAAACGGCATGTTCTCAGTAGGTAACTTAAAATTTATACTCGATTTCATGCTTTAAACCCAACGTCATTTATGCGGGTTTTCGCGGTGGAGGGACTGCATTTGTATCTGAAGCTATTTGGTTTTATACCATCCAACTCATTCGTTTGGGTTCATTTGCCCATTGTTACTCACGGAATAATAATGCATAACTGGTATCACGTTCGTGGTAAAACAATGACGCGAATTAATCTTTTAGATAAATGACTTGTGCCTCATTGACACTAGGCTCCATTTCCGTTCATTTCAGTTGAATAACTATGATCAAAGGACCGAAGTGTGCTGGATCCGGTTGCTACGACTCACACCGCAAGGATAACAATAAATAACAATAAACGAATGCAAGTTGGAAGCAAGTATGTGCAGTAGATTAACCAAATTGGAACAGCTTGACTCAATAAATCGAATCTAGGAACGCCGTTGACTGTGTGACTCTGCCATGTCTGAAAGGGTTGCCAACCGTTGGTGTGGACAATCTCGAGGTCCTCATCCAGGAAGACCGAATGCACCAGCCTGACCAAATCTCTAATTCAATTTCAGTATGCCTCTAAGGCACGTCATGGACTGGACACCGCGGTTTCACCTAACTTAGTACAGCGACGGCGCGTAATGAATGCCGAAGAAGCCGATCAGTGAGCACACCGAGGAGATGGTCTAGCAAACGTAAACGGTTAAGATTAAACAAACACTCGAGTGATGCACCAGAAGGCTTTTTACCAAAAACCAATCGTCGGATCTCAGCATTGCCCATGCGCTGTTCCCAGCAGACATGAGCAATACTGCACAAGCGCTGGTGGTCAAACACTGCCAGACGTTTAATGTCCCCACTACGAACGTACCAGGTCTCTGATTCACATAATAATACCAGCCATACTGCAGCGTTGCACACACTAGGTTTCGCTGACGGGCTGAAATCGCGCCGTCTCCATGGATGGTTGCACTTCTGAAAAGCCACACGGGTCTTGCTGATACGCGAAATAGCCTCCTCAGTGGTGTGACCACCAGAGGTGACACATCTACCAAGGTAAGTGAAATGATCCACCACTTCTAGTGGCTTTTCGGTGATAGCTAAAACCGGTACTGTGCCGGTCCATTATTACAACAGTACTTTGCATTTTTGAGCTGCAAACCACATGCTAAACCGTGCGCCGCGATGCGCCGGTCTAGACATTAGTGTTGGAATAGTTACTGGTTCCGACCCGAGAAGAGCAATGTCGTCCACATACTCAAGGTTTGTCAGCCACTTACCCGGCGGAATTTTCACTTAGGCAGAGTCTGCAAAACTGAGTTATTCATGATCATTTCAATGATGAAGTTTGAGAATAGGCGGCACTACACTTTAAAGCATGATAGTGAGTACTGTATTATTATCAGCTGG